GGCACCTTTTCTGAGTATTAAAGACATCTGTGGTTAAAAAAAAGAAGGAAAAAAGAAAGAAAGAAAGAATGAAAGAAAGAAAAAAGCTGAAATTGAGAAATCTGTTTTCCAGCAAGGACAAAACCTAAAATTTCTGTCAGCCTTCTGCTTGGGATTTTCATTTGATTTACTAGGAATCATGAGGATCTGTTCAGAGATAGCAAAGTGTTTGAATATTGCCTGATGAAAAATAGTCCAAAGCCAACAAACACATCTATATAGGTCAGATTTTCTTTCTTTCTTTCTTTTTTGTCTCACAAATGCTCATGGGGATGCGAGTGTTCAAATGGCCCCCCAGGGTTCAGTTGTCTGGCATCCACAAAGCATGAAGGGGACAAAAGCAAGTGCTAAATCAATCAGCCCTCTGTTTTGTATTTTTCTGGTGGAGGAAAACATATCGACAAGCGGAGGCATCTTTACCGAGTGTGGCTGTGGTAAGAACAGCCCACACACTGGTGAGGAAACCCTCGGGGTGTCCCAACTGCTCCTGGCCATCCCGGCTGGGACAGGGGCAGGAGGGGATGGTCTTTCTTTTGTTTGTTTCATCTCCAGAAGGATTCAAACGTGTCCATGTGGGGCTTGCTAGTAAACTCACTGGCCCCTTCCCTAATTTTGATTAATTTTGATCCCTGTTCTTCATTCCTATGGATGCGACAGCTGCCCTGATGCTGCCTGTGGATATGGTTCCCAGTTTCTCCCATGGTGCTGAGGTGGCACACTTGAATTTTTCACCTCAACTGGCAGCACCTCTCCTTGCCACTTCTGTTATCTAAAACTGATCCTGGTACCAGCCTTGCAGGACCAAATAGGTAAAGCATCCTCACAGGCATCATGCTGCAAAGCTGGCGTGATGCAGCTGAGGGGGACAGGAAGACCGCTGCTGACATTTGTTTTCCCTCCCTCCCTTACAATAGTTCCTAAAAATCTTTAATTTTTGACAAATCAGGGTGCTTCTTGTAAGAAGCTAAAGTCTTCGGAAAGAAACAGCAGGAAAACAAACTGGTCCTGTGGGTGGGGGGTGTTTGCTAATGGGTAGCAGGTTTGGAGTCTAACAGCCTTTGATATTTTTGAAGGTCTCCTCCTAGATGGCTCTGTACTCTCAGCTGGCAGCAGTGCAAGTAGTAGAAATTGAGAAGCTTAAAAGAAGTAAGCTTTTTTCACCCCTGGGTCTACAGATGTTTTATATAACATGTCTAGAGACACTTGCTAGGGGTGTGATT